TACGCAAAATTGGTTTTCCAAAAAATCGATTTTGGTTATTGGTGTAACTCTAAAACAAATGAACGTATATACATGAAATTTTCACTGGTTGTTTATATTTGCATTTTCTATACACGATAACATTTTCAAAAGATTTTGATTTATTTTGAACTGTTTAGAGACATTTTCATTTTTCATTTTTTTTTTAGTTTTTTTTCTAAAAATATCAATAAAATTTTATTTGTTGGTTGCAAAAGCTTGAAAATTTAATAGAAGGCTCCTAATATATTGTTTCAAAGGCAGATGAAAAATATTAAAAATTCTTAGAATCGCCTTGTATACTATATTATAATAATATATGTTACCTATAACATCATATTTTGGAAATATAGGTACAATATAATATTATAGTCACTAATCACTATGTATAGTAAAATCGTTATAATGCTTGAGCTGCACAAATTTCTTTATTGCACTTGCACACTCATAGTTGCTTATATTTCAGTGTAATAATACTATCATCTCCGTGTATCTATATTATGTTACGGGTACATAACTTAAGTATCATTGACCCGTGTTAGAGAAAAATCATATTATTATGCAATATGACACTTATTCAGGGTCAATTTTTTATTGCTAATTGTTATTTATTATTACCTATTAGTATTTTATTAACAGTGTATATCGTGGGTCTAGAATGAAAACGTTCTAAATCGAATTTCTTTCAAAAGTCACTTCTAACCTAAAATGGTTTTAGAATGCAAAAGCACATCTTTTAAGGCTAGGTTATAGGTAAGTTATTACTAATAAAATATTTCAGCTATACTATTGCAATACTATTTACAGTATAATAACAAGAAACTAGACATATATATATATACTATACCTATTCTACGTTCGATCCGTTTGCAAACTACGTGTATAATACGTATATGTATAGAGTAACCTGGGGTATAATGGCGCACCTAACATTTAACAGCTGGTATGTGGTAGCATACAAGTTTTATAAATATTGTTATATTGTTTTCCTATATTATAAATATTACGTAGATTTCAGTTTTTCGGTCAAAAGTTGATTTTCCAAAGCAAATACCAAAAATTCTAAATAATTAGAAATTATAATTATAAAAATGAGTCTTTTTATCACATTATTGAGGTAAAAGTGCCAACCTAATGGGGTAATAGGCCGCATGCTAAATTAATTCATAAAAATCTATTTTATTGAAAGAATGTTATCTATTTTATTTTTATCAAATGATAAGTTATAAATATATATAATATGCAGTCATAATATTATAATAGTTTCTAATATAATATATAATTAATATAGTATTAGTAAAAAATACTAAGTCGAAGTAATTTTTTTAAGTATATTTATTCAATATAGATATAACATAATATTATTGAATTATTTGTTAATACATTATAGATATTATAATGTACCTATTAGTTTAAAAATTAATAAATAAATAGATATAATTAATTCAATTTGAAGCTAGAAAAATTAAATGTTTATAAAAGTAGGTAATCAATAATCATATAAGAAATACTGCGCACTCTTACCCCAAAATCCACTAAGCCATTTTACCCCAACATGATTTTCTGCATAAAAAGTATTGTAGTATATTCAGTTGTTATCATGTTAATATTTTACTAATATTGACGTTTAGTTGACGACTTGTACTAAACTAATATATATATAAAAGCAACATCTAACGTGTCGTTATATAGTACACGTTACTACTTCTATACTACTCAAATATTACATCAGACAAATATAATTAATATTTTACCTCATATTTCCGTTAAAATTTCATCAACTGCCCAAAGAAATGTTATATCAAGCGTTTGACAATGATAACATAATCATAATAACAAAAATGTTTGACCAGATAGCAATTATTAAATTACTCATACACAATAGTTCGTTTTGCCTCCCATTATACCCCAGGTTACTCTAATGTATATAAGTCATTAATATAGAATTCTATGAAGGGCGGATAAACTTTGTCACTTATCTATTACTCTTACGCTAAAAATGTATATAACCATTCTTGTCAAAAATTTTACGATATTCAATTATTATGAAACCTATTTTTATCGTAAAGTTAATAATTTTAGGGATTAAAAGTAAAACCATAATAAAGTGAAAAATTTTACCTAAAACCAAAGATGGCCGACGGTTGCGGGCCTCGGAGGGATGGAGCATTTTTTTTTGGTCAACAGGGCCCCAAGATAAAACTTTTAGCCAAGTTTCAAAACTTAAGTATTTTTTAGAGGGTAATTCCTTTTTCGGAGCCCTATTGACTGGACTATAATTGACAGCGCTTAGAGAGAGAGAGAGAGAGAGAGAGAGGTCAGGGGTACGATATAGAGTGAAAGAGAAAAGAGAACGTGTGGGAAATACAGTATTATATCTATGATTACTACTTTAAGCTCTTTCTCTCTTTTCTCTCTTCGTGCTGTCTTCTTTCTACCTCTTAAATGATTCCCGTGCATTGATGGCAGAGAGGGCCTTGAAAATTAAAATATAATACTCTTTAGTACAAACAACAAAAGAGGGAATGGTCTTGCAACGTTCACCGCCCCGGGAAAGTGTTTCCGAGTGACTACTCCATTTTTCTGTGGTAACTTCATGAGAAAAGAATAACAAAAAGACGAAAGAAAAAAAACGTGTTGGTGTTTCTTTGTGTGTGTTTGTCTACAGACAAAGAGGAGAGAAAAAAACAAAACAAACGTCGGCTTTGGCGATTACAACCCGAAGATGATAATATGTGGTGCTCGACGCTTATAATTACTTTCCGCGACGTTTGTTAATTAAAATTCACAAATAAACTTAATGCTAGGTACGGCGATATGAAAAATATGTAATTAGGTACCGATAATAACACAACAAGTATAGTTTGTCACATTACAACTTTTTTATAATTTCTATAATTTTTGCTGATATAAATTAATAACTAATAAGAGTATTGTAATATTCATGAATTTAATATCCATTTTATGTCAAAAACTGCTAAGCCCGTATAAAAAATAATAAATAAATAAATAAATATATAATAATTATATTATAACGTAGGTACTTATTTTGTTCAGATATCGTTTTAGTTCTAAATTTTCAAGCTTCCGACATCATTATTTTATCCCTTACCTACCTATTATTAATGTTGACAATGTGTTTTACAAAATATGTGTTGGCAAATTAGATTTTTTCATAGATTATTATATAGTCACCCGTCGAATATGATATTATAGTTACACAAATTTGTTTAATTATTATTTATTCACTTTGACCATTCAATCAATTTTATCTGGCCCTTATTGCTACATTTTCAAATAATTTCATACAATCTTAACGTTTATCTGTATAGTTAAGACTAAGTACCTACTACCTATAATACATGAATTTCATTGTTCGTAAATAATAAATTTGTTCAATAATCGTATGACCAGTGGCGTAGACAGGAATTGTGATTGGGTGAAGGGACTATACAAGGTGTAACAGAAAGACTTGACGAAAAAAAATGATGCTACTTTAACGTATGACAAAATTTGTTAAAATTATATGATTAGTAAATAATTTAAAAAATACACTCATGTCAGCAAATTCCCGAAAAAAATATTTTGAAAATAGTTATTACTTTCCAAATTCATTTAATCAAAAAATATTGATATATTAAAAATTCTAATAAATAAACTACTTGACTTAGATAAATGTTCTTACTTTCAAAATTGTTCTTATAATCAGATTCAAAAATTGGCTATTTTGATTATATATTTATATTTAGTGTTAAAAAATAAAAATAATTTTTGTATAATATACCTGTAACACGAGTGACTATGAATTATGAATAAAAAAAAAATTTTATATAGATTAGAACTAAAGTTATTCCAAAAGTCAGTTCTATCTGTTACACTCTATAGATTCATAATTTTTAAGATAAATCACAAGTTAGGTAGTCCCCCCGCACTAATATTATATATAAAAAAGTTTACAAGTGCTTAGTTATCTGCTGAACAGTAGGGAGGTGTCTACTGTCTAGATATGTAAATTTAGAAAAGTATTGACAATTTGACATCTATAGAAATAAAACTTTAAACAATTAATATTTCTATTAATAGTTGATTTTTATTTTCAATTTTCAATTTCCATGTACAGAAAATAATAAAATAAAAAAGTTTGGTGAACATTTCAAGTAAGTAGGTATACTTACAGTTATTAGTTTTTGAATAGTGAATACAATGAAATAAGAAAATTCCCATGATATTTTGTTAATTTAATTTTTTTATCACTTTAAAATCACTATTGTAAACTCTGTACCCTTTCTGTACCATACTCTGTATATGTTTATTATAATATTGGTTGATTTTTTTTTTAAATTTTTATTATTCCTGTTGTATATTCTTTTGTCGATTTATGTTGAAGGACGCAAAAATTCTATAGCAAAATATTGTATTATATTTGATCATTGCAAACTAACAAACGTTAAAGTATTTCTGAACTCAATAGCTTATCCTTACAATAATTTGAATTTAGATTTTGCAAAAAAATAATTTCCCCTTATTATATTATGATATGTATACCTACCTACATTCTTTTCAAGAATCATTCTATGAAAAAAGTAAACAGAACCCTATATTGAGTCCTTCTACTTTTCTAGCAAACACTTCAATCATTGTTATTAATACAATGAAATTGAATTATCAGAAACGCTTTCAGGTGTAACTGCTTATTGTTAATTAATTATTCATGATCGTGTTGTTGAATATTATGTACCTTTTATTACACAAAAAACAAGAAGGCATATTTGTTTTAAAATGTAATTCTAAATAAATCTGTTATGCATTATTTAACAACTTTGATTTGAAAATATAATATGTACCACCTATACTTAATTACAATGACTTAGATCATTGATAATTGTATCCATTTGCGGAAAACATTTATCAGTGTCTGTGTTTATTTCGAAAAAATATTTTTGAATAAAGCACCATACTTGTTCTCCTTCGATTGGGTATTTTTAGTTAAATGTAAAGAACGATTTAAAACACGTATCAACTGCTTTGAGAGGCGTTTCAAATTTGTATTTGGTGCTGTTGATAACCAAAAAACTTTGGATTCTTTCTTCGGAATAAATTTCTTCAAAAATAGAACCCACAGTTAAAATGTATGGTTGTACAGTGAGACCAAATGTATATGCCTTCTTGACGATCGATTTTTGAGTATTTTTCACATCATTTACGTTCTAAAATATATAATGTTAAAACATTAAATGAATACCTAGCTACAAACACATAATTAAATCTTTCATCATTAATACCTATATTAATACAATAGTTTTTTATTTTTTATTTTAAAATTCAATACACAACGTCGACCTTAAAATTATTGTTTGAAGCTACCCCGAACATTTTAATGGGAATTTTTAACTGAGCTAAGTTGATAGGAAACAGTTCAAAGTTTATAGTCATGCTATTTTTTTTTATTTCCGTTCAGTTAAAAATTATATAGAAACTTACAATTAATTTATTAACTTATTTTTTTTATGAAAGAGAATTATGTAGTAGGTTCCAGCTATTATTAAGCATACATAATAAGTATAGCATTTTGATTTAATAACATAAAGATATTGAGAATTGACTGTTAATAAATATAAACATTTTTAATAGATATGAGCATAACCCAAATGGTTTTAATTTTAAAACAGTAATACTAGTAATTAACTTAACTATAACTTTTTATACCCAGGCTTGGTTTGAAGTACAATTTGCTGAAGGAATTGTTTAGTTTAGTCCATATTGTAAATTATTAAACTTAAAACTTACATTAATGAAACGTATGAAAGAACAAGCTTGTTCCACCTTAGAAGGACGCCAAGAAGACTTTTTATTATTTTTCACAGTATGTTTTATACAAAGTGGTGGAAAAATCAGTGGAAACAACCATAAAGCAGCATAGACTTAATTACCTATAACAAAATATATTTAAAAATTAAAATTAAACTTAACTTTGAATATAAAATATATTATATAACCAAAAACCATACACCCCATAGGATAACACAACATTTGTAAAACTGATTAATAATAAAAAACGTAGTACGTACATACAGAAATTAATACTATTCATTATTAATTATATATTTATACTATATATGATGGTGATTTTAATTATACAAATCAAGTGGGATCTTAACTTAATCTTGATTAAAAAAAATATAAAACAAATTTTAACTGAAGTTAGTAATTAATTTCATAAAAAGGTAATTTGACTATAACTTTAAATGTATTAATGCCCTGCAGGTTTTCAGATGATGTACCAGTCCATTTAATAAATGTTATTATACTTACCAGGTCTTTTTGGGTTATTTAACTCAGCAATATACTCTAGACCATTAGTTCCAAAATGCATATAATTATCATCTATATATTTTATAAAATTTTGAATAAACGGTTCGAATTTAGTGAGCAACTCCATAGTATTTAATGGATATAAATAATTAAAATCTGATTCAATCTAAAAAAATACAAAAAAAAAATTCATAATTAATACAATTAAATTACCTAATAACTTAAGACTAAACTTATTTCATTAAAAATAAAATTTTAACTAACGAGAGAAGGACCCAAGGAACTTAGTGTTAGAGCAGGAAACATACTAAGTTAATTTTCAATATTCGAGCCAAGCCTATAAGGTGCTGTTAGTTTCCAATAAGAATAAACTGTTTCATTTGGCTCTGTATTATTTTTCAGCCAACTAATTTCTTCATTAAACTCTATATCTAATTAGGTAAAAACAATTAGTTAAATTCAATATACATTAACAAAAAAAAATTACCATCAGACATCACATTTGGAGAAAAATCATGTTGGTGGTTTTTAGTTGAAGTAACTATTATAGGTGAATTTTTTTTAATTTCTTGTCGTTTGTTACAATATTTATTATATAATTTTCCTTTATTCATTTTGGACCCTTCTCGCGAATAACCAATAAAATATGTTGATTTAATTTCACTGCTAAATAGTTGTACGATGCCTAAAAATTTATTTTTTTTTTTAATATATATATAATGAAAACAGTATAAGTTAGAACATCGTACCTTGAGATAATGTTTCCAATCTTATTTTGCTAATTTTTAATTTTGGATCATTTTTAAGTTCATTTTTTATCAATACAGTAGATAAAATATTTCTCATAGAATTGCTGATTTTTTTATTTAATTTATAATATTTTATAATCATTTTTTCATCTGAATATAAATGTAATATGTTTTCTATTTCATAATTAACCTATTTGGACATACAAATATAAAATACTTATTATATTTGCATTTTTCTTTAGGCTAATTTATAAATATAAATAGGTACCTTATTTGAATCGTTTAAGGAAATATCTTCAATCATAACATTATCAGTATAATTGTGTTTTGATAATAATTAAAGTTAAAATAATAACAATAAAAAAATTAATTAATTAGTTAAATAGGTATAAACGTTATTTATATTCATTAAAGATACAAAACCTACTTACCAGTATTACTTTGAATATAAACATCTGAATCTATAGTATTATTTATTATTTCAATAGGAAAATTGTTTAAATCCTCAAAATGCATATTGACTTGATTAGTTATTTCTATAAGATCCTGGTGAAAATGTGAAATTATATATGCAAACATAAATTAGTTCAAATTAATTTAACAATAATATACATTGATTATATAAATATACACAGTGCTTATAGTATTTAAAAACAATGTTAGTATCCAGTAGTACTCACTCATATAATAGTCATATGTCCGTTGGGGGGGGGGGGTGCTTAGAATGCACCACACTGCAGGACCAAAACACGTGTCCTACTGAACGTTATATTATTTACATCCGAACGATTTAGTGGAACAGCAGATTATAATATGTCGAGTTCGATACGATTACTTATACAGTTTTAAATTTTACCTTAGTGGCACTGTGGTAACCCGGGAAAGATGTAATATTCACGGTCTAATTACTAATCGCATCAATTGCTTTTACATATGTTTGTGGCTTAGAAATTGCAATTCTTTTAACGGCTCGAAAATATATTAATATTATAAACTCCATTATCAACCAATAAACACTGACAGCATTAGGTCTATTCGTTTTTGACGAAGCCACGAAGGGATATGTTATATTATATTATCTTATAACTAGATTCCGGTGTTTGTCATCCCGCCTACGGCGGAAAGACTGTGTGGGCGGTGGTGCATCTTTGTCGGCGATGCTGGGTTTTTTGATCCAGCCGGCGTCGGGAAGGGGGGTCGTCGGGTCTTGTGTTTTGTCGTGTTGGCAGCACTGGTTAAGCGGTAATTTTTGAACTCGGAAGAGTGTCTAGTCGTAAGTCACGTGATTCAAGTCGATCGTACGACACAGCCAGCCAGGTAGGCAATCCGACTACGTCGGATCGCAGACCATGCACCGGGCGGGTATGTCCGGTTCTGGTGTGTGTGTGTTGAAATCGGAAATTCGGATTCTGGGTTTGAGTGTCTAGCTATCAGTTATCTCGGGTAAAAGTCGATTCCCGAGTGTCGGATGCAGTGGGGGACACTGGGGGTGTAAGTCGCTCGTATGCAAGTAGCTAGTCAGGTAGGCAATCCGACTACGTCGGATCCCAGACCATGTACCGGGCGTGTATGTCCGGTTCTCGTATCTGTGTTGAAATCGGAAATTCGGATTCTGAGTTTGAGTATCTAGCTTTCAGTCATCTCGGGTGAAAGTCGATTCCCGAGTGTCAGATGCAGTGGGGGTGTAAGTCGCTCGTATGGAAGTAGCTAGTCAGGTAGGCAATCCGACTACGTCGGATCGCAGACCATGCACCAGGCGTGTGTGTCCGGTTCTCGTATGTGTGTTGAAATCGGAAATTCGGATTCTGAGTTTGAATGTCTAGCTATTAGTCATCTCGGATGAAAGTCGATTCCCGAACGGACAATCCACCTGTGGCGGATCGGATGCAGTGGGGGTGTAAGTCGCTCGTATGCAAGTAGCTAGTCAGGTAGGCAATCCGACTACGTCGGATCGCAGACCATGCACCGGGCGTGTATGTCCGGTTCTGGTGTGTGTGTGTTGAAATCGGAAATTCGGATTCTGAGTTTGAGTGTCTAGTTATCAGTCATCTCGGGTGAAATCCGATTCCCGAACGGACAATCCGCCTACAGCGAAAAGTGCTCGAAACAGCCGTTCAAATATGAAAAAGTATACAGGAGGTAATAAAATTGTATTTGTTGATAATTATAGAGAACAGTTATCAGGTGTTTTATGTTAGGCTTCACTGTAATCAATGTAATCATTGTTATGTTTTCGCGGTTATAACAAATAAGTCGACAAAATCTAATTTTCTGATTGGATATTTTCTAAAATATACCTACCTTGTATATTTATTTAATTATGAGAATTAAGTCAAATTAACAAATAGATATTTATATGGGTGAATAACAAATTTTATTGAAATGTAATACTATCCTATTAAACGTAGGTATCTATAAATGAATACACTATACATACTCTCGTTTCCGACACACTACTCCACCCCGGGACTCGAATTTTCGAAAAAAACGGCAAATGAAGCAGTCATATTACAGTCGTACTATTTTTTAATATAGTATTTATAATCTGTAGCAGTATTTAACCAAATCGGAATCACGTAAAAACTGTAATATATCAAGTAGGTACTACACGTAGGTTAGTTATATTATAATGTATTATTAAAAGAAACATGTAGGTGCGTCGGTAAATGTTAATTATAATAATTTTTTTGCCCAATAAATATCGTCAAACGAATAATAATAATATATATAATATAATAATGCAAATTAAAAAAAAAAATTAACACTTTCGTTAAAAATGATAAATGTGACGAAAAAATAAACGCAAAAAAAAGAAATTCGATTTAACACGGCCCCGCCGGCGTTCGAAACCACGAGCGTCGAATCACCCGTTTTAACGCCTAACCTACCTAGCCACCTACCGAGATGAAATTAGGAGTCAAATCTATGACTCTTAAGGGCGTTTGAGCGGACCACCGTGTCCGCCACCTTCGGACGTTCAAAACGCGAGATTTGCGAAAAAAATCGAACCTCGAGGCGCATGTATATACATGCGTATATTATATGCCTGTATATAGCGATACCTACACGGTACCTACTCTCGTTTCCGACACACTACTCCACCCCGGGACTCGTCTGTGGCTATAAATATAGCAGGGAACGCGAATAAGTAGTCGACGGGGAGGGTGATATGACCGAAAGGGGCTAAAACTATAATTTTCAAAAAAAACGGCAAAAAGAGCAGTCATATAGTCGTACTATTTAACTGCCAGAGTTTAATCAGTTCTATTAGATCTATTAGTTTATTAATACCGTATTAAACAGTATTTAACCTAAAAACTGTAATATATCAAGTAGGTACTACATGTAGGTTAGTTATATTATATTGTATTTATATAAGAAACATATAGGTGCGTTGGTCACGGTAAAATCAAGTATTATTATTATTATTTATAAAATAGTACAGTATCATTATACAATTTAGTTACAATTTAAAATATCTACTTTAATATATATTAATATTTTTTTGCCAAAAAAAAAAAAAATGTGACGAAAAAAAAAACTCGAACAAAAAAAAAATTCAAAATACCACGACGAATGGCGCAAATTATCGTAAATCCCAGAGGCCGGGTTCGAACCCACGACCCTCGAGTCACTTATCCTAACGCCTAACCAACCTAGCCACCTACTCAGATGAAGTCCCGAGGCAAATGTATGACTCTTAAGCCGCGTCGCCGTGCTCGCGGCGATAAAATAAAATTCTTATCACTTTCCTTATCAATAAAAACAATATTTAAGAAAATCCCAATAAATCCTATCAAAAACTCAAAACCCCGAGTTTCCCCTTGGCGAGGTGGGTGTTAGTACTCTCCCGGACCAAAATCCATCAAAAAAGCAAAATCCAAAAAGGGGGGAGGAGGTGCCCCCGTTCCCTAAAGCGGAAAACGGTAGTATTCATAAAAAGAATGGGTTCCCCCTTGGTCCGAGGTCTTTAACTTGAATTCCGGCCGAGTTATACTCAACTCAAAATGTGGGGGGGGTGGGGGCTTTGGTTCCCTAATGTTGAAAATTCATCTGGGGCCTAAAAAATTGAGATGCCCATTGGTACGGGGTCTCTAAGTCGAATACCGGCTAAGTTATACTTGGTCAAAAATAATTACTCGTTTAATGGGTCCCCCCACTCCGCCAGACGGTCGCGGGGTAATCGATTTATAAGACGTTATTATCACGTCAAAAAATTGAAAAACACGGGTTTTTTTTTAATAATAATAATAATAATGTTCGAAAATGTTCGTCGATAAGGAAATGGGAGATAAGCGAGCGGAATTTATAGCGAACGCGCGGGAAGTATTGTGATTGGTCGTCATGGAAGAAACGCGGAGTGCCGTGAGCGCTCCCCGCGGATCTTATACGCGTTATTAGCGTTTTATTATATAAGATATAGGTAAGTACAGGTGATTTTTAACCTTGATCTGCACCCTGCTTTTTCCTTTATTTATTTAAATTATTATTTTTAGAATTTTTAATTATACCTAAATACCATAGTATTTTTTAATTCCTGACATTTTTTGTACCAACTAATTTAGGAATATCTAGTATTCTTGTGACGATATAAACATCGATTTTTCAAATGAGAACCGGCGTTTTTACTGCAAATTATTTAGCGGATGAGTGTCTTGAAAATTTCGATGGAATTGAATCAAAATTCTAATGAGTATAGTTTTTGAGTTATTAAAATTTATGTTAAGGATAATAGTTCTTAAAAATGGTTTTACAAAAATATAAGCTACTAGAGAGCCAAAATGTATGGTTTGAATATCAACATTTTCAGAAAAAAAACCTTTATAAGGATTCATTAAAAAATATAGTTGTTGCCATTTGAAAAAAAAAGTTAATTTTGCTATTGGTACACCTGATTGATTAAAAATTTTGAAATTGTTATAAAAAAAAAGCCTGTTAAAAATAAAGAAACACTTATTTTTTCGTTTTAATGAAATCCATATCGCATCGTTCCATAATCGTTAAAAAAAACCCCGAGTACAATGACATAAGATACACCCGATATAATGCACTGTTATATTTTTTACATCCAGATTTCCAAAATGTTTTTTCATAAAA